TCATGAAATACTGAATAATAAAATATCTTATTAAAGGAAAATTTAATGTTTAGGGTTTTGCATATGTTAAGAACTTTTTCAGGTCGTACTTGTATTAATGTTACAGAAAACAAATGTGAGTTATTTTATTAAAATTATCGTAAACAAATAATTCTGTTATAACTTTGTAGAAATAAACCATATCATTTAATAGTAGCAACTAGAAATATCCGTTCGCAGTTCGACACGTTTGCGTTTGTGATTCAATTAGACACGCGTTTCATTCATTCGTATCTAATCGATTACTTGCCATTTTACTAAAATCATTATCAAATTACTAGTTTTATATCTACGAGAATTTTAATGTACCCATCTCGAGTTAGTTACAAGGAATTAATGTAATAAAACTCAATGTTTTAATATTCATAGCTATGATGATGAAAAAAACACATTATGATTCGTAACGCTTTGTTGATTATGATCCAAGCCGGACAAATCGTATCGAGAGTTATAAAACATTTAAATAAACATCAGAGGCGCTACAACCTTTTTAGATCTGATCCTTATATTTCTGCACCTATCTGACCACGTGTTTTCCACCACCGTTCGAGCGAATGTTAATTGCGCACATAGAAAGAAAGTCCATTGGCGCACAGCCGGGAATCGAACCCGGGGATGAGAGTCGTACACTGAAGCCACTAGACCAACACTGCTCTCATAACAATTAAATATTCTATATAATTATTGGTGCCTAACAATAGCTACTACGTAAAATATATCGATTTCCAATGAAAATACCAATACCACTCATCTATTGGTCAGGATGAGCACTCCCTAACAAAGCGCTGATTCGCATTATTATGACGGTCACGACAAACACAATTACGATGATATTTCATTATACGTATTCTGGTATTGAGGTTACGTGGGTAGGTTTGTAACATAAACATAAGTTTTTCAAATTAAGCCATTAGACGCTAGAGGTTTCATCGCATGATATAAAATATGTACAAGTTGACTAGAGATCTATTTTCCAACAGGCTGCTAATGACAGTAAAGGCTGTACGTGAAACTGACATAACATTACAGTAGCTTATTTCAAAGCCTATATTGGATACGCGGCTACCTTCACACCTATAGCCCACCATAGTGCTTTGAAAACATTGTTCATACTTAATACGCACGATTGAACAATGACGTCGACGTGAAATTCTTATGTCGTTAAGGCTATCAAAAATCTTAGAGACCTTTTGTCTAAGGTAACAATGCAGTAATTATGTATTTAAATTTTTACGTTCCAAGCTCTTATGACATATGATGGAATTACATTACATAGATTTGTTGGCGGCAAAAATGGAATCATAAACTTCAAAATAGCATGTTGAACAAATTATTGTAAGTTCTATTACACTTACGTTTACTTAAATATTATAATTCGATATCCCAGAAGAGCCCTCTACATTTGAAATTTAATTTGTTTCTAAGCGAAATGAATTTCTCATTAAATTTCTATCGAGGACCGTGCGAGATTGCTGTCTACACGGGTAATATACTTTTAAAGGAAGTAAAACATTTTTATTTTGTATTTTTATTATATATTAAAGTATATAAGTTTGAACATGATTGACAAACTAAGTAAATATTTTCAGCCGATACTCATTCCAAAAAATACCAATTACCCTGCGAAACGAAATATTGAATTGGTTAGTATTCAAATACTAAAATCATTCGAAACATTTATTTTATTTAACAATCGACTATCACTCGAATTAACAAATAGTTCTTTAATCATAAATGTAATAGACAACAATGCAAAAACACAAAATAATTAAAAGTACGTGTTATACAATTGATACACATCGAACGAAACAGTATAAAATATAACGTCGAATTCGGTCAAAAAGAAATAAAAACATTGTTATTGGTTTTTTGCATTTGTTCAATCCTGTTGTTTTTTTGGTGAGCTATCTCAAATTCGATTTACAAAAAGCTATCACGGTATTGGCTTCGCGGAAGGGTGACCAGAAAAAAATTACGTGTGCATGAAAGACATTCGAACCAATTTTACTAACATATCTATAAATTTTCCTTGTTAAATTGTCATACTGATTTACCTTTATCTAGTAGAAGGGACTAAGTAGACAATACTTATATTATAATAATTAGTATAAGTCAAATACAAGTAACGAACAAACGCCCATCTTCATTTCTCATTAAAAGTCTTAGGCTCTTCCATGAAAAAGTCACTAGTGACTAATTAAAACGGCATTTACTAAAATAGCTATTACTGGAAGCTCTTTAATAAAGGTTTATGTTTTTAGTAAAAATACTAGAACTCTTTATGTGCCGCATATTTTATTTTACTTAAATATTTCACAATTTGATATGAGAATAGTGAAATGTGTATTGACAATAAAATCGAATGATATGAATAAAATGAAGTTTCAAGAGTATAGCTAATGTCTGTCAAGAAACAGAGATTACATTTCAGAAATATTAATATCTTTTGTTTTATAAGAACAACAGACGATGCTTTCCATATAACTTCTCGATCTATTTTTCTCATTGACTAAAAGCAAATGAGATCAATTAAGACACGGATAATAACAAAGACTCAAAAAAACAAAACAAAAGATGAATACTGTTTCTATGAATGAATAATTTAATTGTGACATTACATCCATGACATTTTGAATTAAATTATGCTGATGTCACAAAAGTGACGGGTGTTTTGTATATTTATATTGCAAATTGAGTTAGACAAAAAGAAAGCTCAGCTTAGCGATGTTAACCCAATAATAACACAAAAAATATATATATTCGTTATTTTAATGTTTTAAGGTCTAATTGATTTGAAGAAATTTTGTAAAATTTATGTACAAGCTAATAATGGAACGACTGGTGCATGTAATATAATATTATGTATATTTAAGTTGCGAAATCGCAACTGACAGTTAATTTCGACACTGATAAATATTATTGTAAATAAAATAAATAAATAAAATAAATATTAAACAAAGGGATTCCAATTACACGGTCTACATTTATTTCAATGTGTTAATCACATTATGTTTGATATTATTTACGTTGCCGTTAATTCCGGGAAACTTTTTCTCACACTTTTCCTATTTTACTCTTCTAACTTCCGAATACATGATACAATATTTAGATTAAGGTTGTCACTATTACCTGCCATAGGCGGATGTTAGCAAAACAATCATGTTTAGAGTATATCTAATACAGAAATACGGAAACACCTTCCCGATTTCGCATACCTTAAATTACATTGTACGAGTACAACTTTGTTACAAAGTACTTTGTATAAGATATTATTATTTTATTTGGCTATTTATATCTTGCAACGAAATTTAACTAGCTTTTTACTCACTATTTAACTTAAACGACTTCCAAATGTATCCTCAAATATTAGATTAACTACTTAACTTACTTTCAATGTAGTTAGTAGCAAGTACTGTAGGAATTTTGTTGTTTCAAATTAATTTCCTTTTTAGATGACGCCATTTTCGTTAATAAATTTCGTTCTTAGAATTACATATTATGTAATGTGCTGTATTAAAGTTAGTCAAGGTGCAAAGGCATGTGAATTATAAATATTATAATGTGCAAAATTTTCACATGAACGTATGAACGTAAACTGTAATAAGAGTAACGACCAAAGTTTTGCCTTAACACAATATGAAGTGTGCTCAACTTAGCAAGGTAATCATAAAATATATTATGTCTTGGCTTTTTTATTACTTTCTATGGGGTATATGTTACTTAGTGCCAGCGTAGCTCGATGTCTTGGATGATTGGGTTCATATAAAAAAATGCAAAACTGCTCAACCCTGTCAAATGCAACCAACGCAATAATATGTATTATACGTTTATATTTCTTATATGTAGGTATTTCGTGTTATTGTTAAATAATTAGTTATTGTTTCGCTAGAAATCGAACTCAAACCTAATCCAATATATTTTTTAGGAAAATCTTTAGAAATATTTTAGTAGTTCGAGACCTGACATATTAATGAGGTTTTATATACAGTTAGTCGATATCGTACAATGCCTTAATTAGTTGGAGTAATTTTATGTAGAAGCTATAGTTTGACGCTAATAATCTAACCATGATAAATTGTGGCATTTCGGCGAATAGCTATATTGCTAAAAAGCCTTTAAAATTGTCTTTTGGCAGAACCGCAATTTACTTACAAACTTCTTCAAAGACATAAAAATCTAACGTAATTTACGTTTAAAAATTGTCGAATGGGTTTCCTACTAATTGCATTGCAATGTCGTGTTTCTTATTTAATTGCATTGATTGAGAAAATTTGCCGTGCTTTTTCCTTATCCAATTCGATTTTGGCCTGTGGAGTGGGTAATGTATTCGTTTGGCCACTTTACAATTAAGAATTTAGGCAACATTATTTTATTTGCAATTAATTTATTTTTCTTTGGCTTTGATTAAATTCGCCATCGACTCTGTGAATTTCTGTCTCTTTAAATTACAATTTTACTTAGTAAATTTACACTCATTGACGTTAAAAATATTTTAACAGCCTCCGTAGCTTCAGCTTGTACTAGAATGTTTTTTTTTGGACTTGGTTTTAGGTTCAAAGGTTGCTTATTAATATAATTTGTAGCACACAATGACAACTCTATCTTGTTACAGATAGAGGCATAGTATTGAGATAGCGTAGAGGAACAGAGATAAACAATTTTGATTTCATTAATTCTAGTAAGTAATTAGTTAAACAGCGAGGGCATTAGCACTTTGATATCAATTTGACCTAATTTATTAATAACCATTATTAACACAACATATTGTCTTCAATTTCTAAAACTTTGATTAATAAAAGTAAAACGCATACAAAAAAAATATCCAGGGATAGTAAAAGTCAAGATGATAAAACAAAATGAGTTCTATGTAACAGGTAAGTAATAAGTTTTAAAAATGGAACAAAATAGGACACTAAACTGTAAAAGATCTGGCACGCATGTATTTCTGTAGTTCTATTAGTTTACGCCAATAACGACTCTAAACTGTAAAATTATATAGGTCAAAATCCTATCTACGTTACATAGTACCGTAATTTAAATGTTTCTTCGCGTACTTAAAAAACAACGCAACGGTCACCTAACCCAAAATAATATCGTGACCAAAATAATTAACTATGATTACAGTTATTGTATGTCGTCATGGCGTCAAAGGATTTCACAACTTAGCACGTGTTTACCTTAAAATCATAAAACAACATCCGGTTAGTAATAAAGTGTACTCACCTCGAATCGAACTTGTGGCCGTCGTCTAGGGTGCCTGTGTAGTGCATAGTAAGCATGTCACCATTCTTAGATTTTTCTGTGCAGCCTTCGGGAGTACTGACTACTTCAACTTTAAGTTTGGTGACAGTCTCTGGATCAGCGAGAGTGATCCCGGCGATAGCCAGCACCGCAAGTACGCAGCGCAACGCCATAATAAAGTTACGAAAAGTTTAGGGGAGCGAAGACACGTTCTCTCTGCGTACTCGCTGGGATTGAACTGACATGAAGTAGCGCGACTGCAGTGTGCAAACTGACGGACGCGGGTGAGTTGGTGAGCGCCGACTGGTTTCCGCCAAATAGAAGTTCAAGTTATACAAAGTGCCAGATCACTGCTGATTGTTGCTACTTGTCTCGCTCTTAAAAGTATTGCTCAGCGGAAGAATAGAGCGAGATGAAAGTAGTTTTATCATGACTTTGTTCCCGATGACGCGGCATCCGTAGGCACTTGTCAGATGCCACGCACGCGAATGATGACGTGCCGATGCATCACCACATAACTTTGATTGCCGATAGCTACAACTGGATTTTAATTTGTAACATCTATGTATATATATTTTCTACACTAGCAAGTATATTGTTTTAAAGTGGCAATAATAGAGATTTTGGTACTTAACTTTTTATAGGTACTCCATAATATGAATTTTGTTATCTGAACATTACGCGCGATAAAATGTTTCCGATGATTTTGTGTAGGTATGGAAAAATTAAGATTTATACATAAGCTGCAGGCTTATGATTAGAAATACTATGAATAAATAATATATTTTATAATTTTTAATAAAGTAGATACCTAATGGAAAATAATACTTATAATCTTAATATTATTTAAAATAACCGTCTGCAATAAAAATACTAGAGAGCAAAACATACACTAGCTTTTGCCCCATTCAGTTATCTTCTAAATATAATTATTATGTCCACTTAACTTATCCTAATTCTATATATAGATATTGGATATTTCATATCCAATGTAGCACATCGTCTTATCGGGTCGTCGATTTACATCCTAGAGGCGTAAGAATATAAACTCCCGTAAAACAAACTTGTGCCTGAAGACTAATATTTGAATAATAGAGAAGTGTTCACGGTCCGCGCCTCGTAGAGTTTTCTCAGAACTGTGAACAAGAACCTAACATTATGTCTCAACTTTATGTTTTAGCCTGCCGCTGGGGGACACCTTATTCTTTTTGAATTTGATAAACTTATCGTTGCTTCACCGCATTCAAAGCATTGAACTACAACACGGCTCTGAACGGCAAATAAAGAACTAAATATTATAATAGAATGGTTATGAGAACGTAAACTACTAGCATATGTAGGAGAGCCTTATGCCCGCCTTCCACTGCGAGCGGAACGGACCCAATACGGACTCCGCTCTGATTGATTTATGATTTTCATACATGTGCTTCAACCAAAGCGGAGACGAGCGGAGCGGAGTTAGCGGGTTGAGCGAGTTTCCCACGAAAATGAAAATGTATGAAAATCTTCGTTACGAGTATAGCGGAGTCCATAATGGATCCGTTCCTCGCGCAGTGGAAGGCGGGTATGACAAACAATTTTTGAACTTTACATTCCTATTTTATTTACTATATCCATTTACCACAGTAGCTATTGTTGGTACTATGACTTTAATAAGCCGGTGTCGTAATTCCACATGTTTTTTTGCTTCTGTGATGATTATCTGATTACAGCTTAAATATTTTGATAATGAATTAAAATATCATTTCTATATATAAAAAAAACTACATTTCCTACATTTGTATCTTGGTAACGAATAAATCGAAAAACAAATGCAATGTAAATGTATGTATTTAGTTTCGATTCTAATTTACTTTTAGAATTTGTTCGTAAAATAAAATATCTTTAGTCTATAATTGCTATATAATTTGCATATCAATAAACAACTTTTTAAAAGCTATTGTAGGAAGTTTTATAGTAAATTATTTTAATTAATAAAATATATCATTTTGTTTAAGACTATTCTATGAGCTTAAATCCAACAGTACCGACGAAGTAACACAACAATAGAATATAATTTAGTAATATATTCTTCAAATCCAAAAGCATGAGGATGTCAAGCAGTTTCTAATTATTGCCGGTAACAATGCCAGCAAGATAAGGGTTGACAGCAGAACATTGTAGCAGACGTAAGAAAAGCTTATAATGGACAGAGGAAGACTTAACTTTTAACAACACTGTGAAAGTGGAAGGTCTCACACTTTCCTATGTGTAAAATATTAAAACAGAAATCGTTATTACAAGTGTATTTTTATTATTGATATATTACAGAGGACAGTTTGAGATACAATTATTTTATTGTTGTATTTTATGTTTGAATACAGTACAGAGTAGGTAACCAAGTTGTGTAGGTTATTCCTATAACTGGTTGAGCGTTCTGCGTACCCCTACAGCGGTAAAGGTTTCGTGGATGCGAGGGTAAAGTGATTGAAGTTTGTCCGTGAGACCCAGAACGGGATCTTAAATAGGCCTATCTGTTAGACTTTAGCGGAACGAAATTAATTTTACTTAACATATATGGACGAATAACTTTTTAAATTTTTTACCATTGAGGGTTCTCTTATTTTAAATAAATTATGTTTCAAAGATTAGAATTTCTACAAATTCATGCACACAGAGTTCAAAATATTTTCTAAAGACTGGCCCTCATAGTTCTATGGAACGGACATGTTGACTCTATATTATTTCTTTTTAATATATACAAAAAACTATTATACTTCTTACAGTTTCTTTTGCACTCTTTTATTTTACTGAATGCTTAAAGGTATAGAATACCTTAAACACTTCATAATAAATATAACTTAATTTATTAAAAATATTTTTTCACTTATTTCTCCTTCTTGTTTTTTCCATGGCTTGATAGTTATGTTACTTGAGGTAGCAGCTAGTCTTGATATAAATAATAAACGTCCAGCCGATGAACGCTTCATTACCTACTTCCAGCATTCAATTGTCCTAGGTGCGATTACGTGAATAGGTAAGGTTTAGGAGGCTCAATATGCTGAGCACCAACTATGCTGACAATGGCACGTGATTTATTGAAAAATTACGGGAGTTTGGAGAAAAGTGGCAAAATTTTAATCAAAACAAATTATATAAGGAGAATTCTAATGTTGGTCAAAGCGTAATTAAAACCGAAATAAATATTGTTCACTGCCGCGAACCGTTATCAAATTTCTTATCGCTTGCGTCATGCACTAAACGGTGCTTTATCCGGGCTGCCGAGCGATTTGATCCATTTCATAAATTTGTTTCATAAACTTTTCTCTCTGGTTCTTATTTACAGAATATGTTACGATAAAAAATGTTTTAATGCAGCCATTGCAACCAAGAGACTTGAACAACTAACATAAATGTTGAATTGCTATATTATGGAAGGAGTTATTTAATATGAGAGTTTAAGAACGTCAAATTGTATGAAATATGTTAGTCTTACGGATTGCCACATAGTGTTTTCTATAAAAATATTAGCGCAGGCGTTTCGATTTAATGCTCTTTTCCAACCAATGATTAAACAAATGATAACGTATATAGTTTCGATTTCTATGTAGGGCGAATCACATGTAATAAAATAAATAATACTTTTACTGCGAGACCTAAAACTCGATTAGGCAGTCTCTGTTCTGAAATATAGATTTTACTATATATCATTATACATTTTGGCGGCGTCGGGACGTGACGACATCGCCCACTGGTGAAATAACCTGTGACAGAGGTTATTTCACCAGTGGGCGAACATTCTGGTCTCTCGCCAAAGCTGTCCAAGGGAATTTTGTCAGCTCTCCGTTCCACCTCTGCACAGGGACGACGCTGGCCCACACTGCGAAGGAGAAGACCAACCTTTTGGGCTGTCTCTTCGCATCCAACTCGACTAAGGATGACCGAGGGAGATCACCACCGCCCATTTCGCGGAAATCATATTCTGGCAACGTGCTGTCCGCAAAGCACTATTTTCCATGGACATTCATAAGTCAAGCAGGCCTGATCGGATCCCCTAAATTGTGCTGCTTACTTGTACTCCTGAATTGGCTCCGGTCCTAACACACCTTTTCTGGTACCTGTACTCGCTCGGAACTCACCCGAAGTGCTGGAAAACCGATTCACTACATCCAATCCCTTATAAAGGCGATCGCTCTGATCCGTCCAACTATCACCCAATAGCTATAACAAAGAGGTTCTTTGTCCAAAATAATGGAATCCATTATAAATGGTCAGCTCCTATGGTATTCCGAGGGCCACCAGCTGATTAGCGATTATGATTACGGCTTTTGAGTACAAGAGAGAAGCGCCAACCGTTAGTTTGAATATAGCGAAAGCCTTCGATAAGGTGCGGCATAAAGCGAGAAATTATGCGACTGGATCTCCAGCTTTCTAGCCGATCGGAGCCGACTCTGTTTCTTCTGCTTATTTATTGCGGTACTATTTATACAGGCCGGGCAGGTATTTCATCGGAATACTACAGTTTCGCAGTCATTTGTAGGGAAAGGCTAAATTAGCCTCCAAAAAGTGGGGTCACTCTGCATCTTCTACCGTATTAACCATGGAGAGGGTTCAGAGGAGTTTTTTGGACTAAAGCCTGCAGGTGACTTTTATCATCGGACGTCAAGGCAGAATACAGAATACCATACCGGCGGCAATTCTACTTAGGGTCCTTCAAGAAAAGAGCGTACTACTTCTTAAAAGGCCAACGGCAAGGCAACACACTCGCGAGCCCTCTGGCATTGAGTGTCCATGTGCGGCGGTATCACTTAACATCAAGTGTGCCTCCTGCCTGTTTGACCTCGTTCTATAAAAAAAACATGATTTTATGTATTTTTCATAAAAATATATATATTGAATATTAATAGGTATTAACTAATTTGTTTACGTACTATTAATGATTAATCTTTGTAATGTGGTGGACTTTTATTTTTACTTATTGACATTACATTAAGCAGTATTGACATTTAAACATTCAACTCGTTTTTAATCGATCACCGAGAAGGAAATTGCCCATTCCCCGCCAACTAACGCAGGCTACGGAGATCAGCGGCGGCCTTAGGGGGTGCGAACGGGGACAATCGCCCGGGCCTCGCTCTTGCAGGGGCTTCGCCCAACAACCCAAGCAAATTTAAAAACTATCAATTTTTAACTACTTTTTTTTAATGTAAAACTTTTGATTTTGATCCTTAATTACTTATTAAGGTTATAACATAACGGTAAATAAAGTTAGTTAACTATGAATTATGAACACTCAAAACATAATTGAAAAATTAATTATGTACAACACTTGAAGATCGGTTTTTTAATCGCGTAGCACCGTACATATTTTTAAATTTTATTGAATATTACGTCCAAAGATCTGCCGCTCGGAGCCTCGCAATGGGTTAGGCCGCCTGTGACGGGGATATGTGAAATGCGACTCGCCTTAGGCATCCTCTGTGCTACGAGTACTCAGAGAGCCAGGTGAGCAATACCAACTAAAACGTTTGTCGGATGCATGCCTACTGTATATAAAGCAGACTACCGAGGTCGCTTTCGTATAATAACAAGGCAAAATTTCTAATGCTTAAGATACAATCTTTGGATTTTTATATCACTTGCTTATATGGTGAAAGTTTCTCGAGGTAGCCGGCATGTACAATCGATAAGTGTCAGACACATGAGGCTGATCACCTCTATAAACAATGAGACAATGATCAAAGAAATAATCTATTGATAGCGCTGATAGATTACATAATGCCTTTTATTTCATTAAAATCTTACTTATTTTATATAAAATCTATTAACGGTGTTACGTTACAAAGGAAAGAATTGTAAGAATCGAAATCCCACGCACCGTATAGAACAAAGCAAAAATATTTTATATTAGTAGAGGTATATTTCATTATGACGATACGATTTTACTGTGACTAAATCGGTTTAACTACGCAATTTGATACGCTTTGAAATACCATCAATTGTTTTATTTATCACATGACTATTAAAAGTTAAAATATACTTTACTATTACGATAATTAGTATAGAAAATAGAAGTATAGTAATAAATATATATATTACAATTTATTGTATATAATGATTGATGGATGTAATCAGTGGGTAGCTGGTTCTATAATATGGTAGTGAAAAGAAACCGCCTAAAAAAGTAAATATTTATGTATCGTTTTTCCATACATAATATATAGATCTAGATATTTCCAAACCGATACGACTTAGGGGCCTTCAAGGAAAGAGCGAACATTACCTGAAAGGTCAGCAAACCAAAGAGGTGTCCATAGGCGGCGGTTAACACTTTATTCAAAGCCTAGTTCTAATTTGTCTCCTATCTTATTAAAATATACAGTCGGATTGATCGTTAAGAACGACTCCGGTACTTCAAATCCAATAGATGTTTCACATATGAAAGTTATAGCGCCAAGTAGCGACTAGAAATTAAACCATTACACCCAGAGTCAAGTTTATTTCCGAATCCGAGTGAAAGACGTATTAGACTTACGGTTTGCATTAGTTCACGTTTAATTAAATTAACTCCCGTTTCTGAAATTTACCATATCATTCCTTATATCAGTCATTAGGTAATTGAAATTCAATTTCGTAGCTAATTTGGACTAAGTAGTAGATGTATAACACTATGTTTTCATATATTAGAGTAATTTAATGGATTGCTGTAATCAGTTACGGTATAGTTATATTTGTGATTACTGCCCATTTAATATTGAAAAAAAAATTTTTTTTAATACTATAGTATTATGAATATTAGATACAATTATAGTTAGGATGTATGATGATGATGGAGCGTAGGAACCGAAGAAGGTGGTTATCAATTCGACATGTATTTTGTTTAAATGGAACGCTTAAGATACGCTCTGGCTTCATCCCATTTGACCAATGGAGACCTAGGACAACCATATTTATTGGAAATTTGGCTTTGGCTTTAATTTTAGTTATTCTTATATTATATGGCGGGTGTAGGTACAATTTTCTCATGTTGAAACGTGTATTAGTAATTTAATTTATTTTCAACATGAAATAGGATCTCCATATCCGCTTATTGTTTGTATATGTGTTTATTTAATCGGCACATATTATATATATTAAGCAAATAATTAAATATTATCTATACTGATATAAAGCCGAAGAGTTTTTTTTTTGAACGCTGTAATCTTAGGAACGTATGATTGAATTTTATTATTTATTAATTTATTTACACTATTTGCACAAGAATTTAATATTAATAATACATTTTAAAAGGTATAAAAAATTGGTGCGACACGCGGCTTTAAAGCCAGGCAACCCTAGAAGAGATCGCTTAATATTGGATAGTCACTGCGGGTACGTGCCATATATAAAGAAATTTACTTTAAAGTCTTTGTCTCTAGTGAATAAACTCCAAAACCTTTATTTTTTATTTTATTTATACGTTAAGAGTTACACAACATATTAAACCTTTTTACGAATAATACACCTTTTGTGGTGATAGTAAATACTATTTTATAAGTACAAATTGTATTTGCAAATATAAGGGTCTGCGTTGGTGTATCGTTCATCTCAAGTGAATCGATACCGTCTGTGCCTACGCAAAACTGAATTATTAAATTTGATATATCTTTTGTAGAGTTATTTCTGTATTGATATGAACAATAAAATCATTTCTTTTTTAAGATACGTCAATCAATAACATTCCCTGTTTATGAATTAAACAAAAGCCTATCTCTTCCTCTTCCTTAAGTTGATTAGATTTGTGTCCAGTTATTATTTGAAAGATACCAGCAATAATTTAAAAAATAAAGAAATCGTATCCATACAGCGAATTTATACTATTTATAATTACGTATTATAACAGTATAATATTATTAATGATGCTGAGTAAGGTGTGTATAATAAACGATTTATGTTAATTGTTCATTGAGTTATTCAAGCGAAAATGCTGCGTAGATATATGTTATTTTGCGATAGAATCATTTACAAAGACAGACATCAATTGTGCAGAGTAAATGATATTAACAATACACCGCACCTATAACATCCACCAATAAATTTCGATTCAGTTGTGAATTTGCTTCGGAGAACATAAGTTAGGTCGCGTTATTATTAAATAATGGACAACTTTGGATTCGTGGGGGATGAATCGTATTTTGAAAGCTTTGCAGAAAAATTTCGTATATGTGGTTCACCTTTCGTCGAAATACCGAATTCTCAAAGGTAAGTGATATTTTTATTTATTCTGCAATTTATAATATGTCAAACTAAAGCAAAATATGTTGGATGATAATTGATACCTGTTTGCAAGTATATTCGATGCCTTAGCAACAATTTCATAACCTGTATTATTATTATTAAGTACCTACAAGAGCACAATTTTACTTAATTCAACGAAGTGAACTTGGCGATTTAGTACCAATGTCAAGTAGGTATTAAATCTTACAATAATAATATGCTTTTTTACCTTGTCATATTAAATAGCATATTCCCATAATTAAGTACCTACTATTATAATATTATTGTACTATAAAAATATAATAATGTTCACTAAATAGTTATCCTAAACAATACCTTGCCTATGGCCAAATTATTTTCCTATATCTAATATTTTTTCTTCATAAGTAAATAGATACATATCATAGTGGTTTTGGAGTTTAAGTTAAAAAAGTGTGTATAAACAGAGAAAAGAAATCAAAAGGAGTAGGTACATAAATATAAAAAAATTAAAAGAAAAACTAACTGACCCGCCGTTAACAGCGTATTAGTTAAATTATTAAATGCGTACCTAATAAGCATGCTTAAAGCTATTAAAATTGACAACCTTACGCCCAACATAAATCATTGAAATCAGAAATACTTTAATGAATAATATAACTTAGCGACATCTCTGCAGTAAGTAGTGAACTATTATAATGTTAAAGTCACATAGATGGCGCTAAATCAAATCGTAATCTGTATAATATAAAGCGTGACGGACTATTAGTTAATTAAAAAATATATAAACCTTGAAATATATTTCTTCTTGTTTTTTTACCATACAAAACGTTAATTAAAATGCCTATTTATTTGTTAATCAAAATGAAACGACATACGAAAACTGACACATGACATATCTTAATATCAACGTCAGTAAAAGTCGCTATATTTGTCAAATTCATTAAAAATTGTCAGATTGGCGATTGCACTTTGCAGTCTGCAGATAGAACGAGTTCGAGTTCGGCTCGGGTGTGATGTAAAGTTGCACTGCATAATTGTTTGATTTATAAGTTTCGTGGTTAATTATATCAGCTCTATAAATATTTTTGTTGAAAGTAATATTTAACCTGGATTTTTGGAGACAGAGGTAAGTTGCATTCTAAATGTTTTATTCATAAAATATTAAAAAAGAGAGACAAGAGCCGCAAACCATTTGTCGATCAGCTGTTACCTATACTTTTTAAGTTAACTTTATTTCTAAAACTTTACATTATTAAATTATATAACTAAGTTTCAGTAAGCTTGGTACTATAATTTATTTAAAAAAAACAGTTTTTAACAAATTATATAATTTTTTTAAATATCTCAATATTACACCAAATTATTATTTGCAGAAATTTACATTTGGAGTCATGTACTGTTCTGAAGAAAGTATCCTTCTCAGGTTTGTTATTAAATTATAATAAATAATTTTAACTATTGTATGCAATATAAGTATCTTCTACAACATAAAAGTTAATTCAATATATATTCTTAAATTTTCGATAATAATATGTCCGGTGTCCTATTTCCTTGGTGTTATAATCTACTCCTTACTTCGTAATCTATCCTAATAATAACAGAATTATATTGGAATTTTATATAAATTATAAATCACAAATTTTTAAAATTAATATTATTTAATTTGTGAAGAATATCATTAATAAATTGTACAATTATTTAATCTTTTAATTTTATGGGACATGGGGAAAAACAGGGGGCGAGTCACTTATAAATAAGTAAAAAATTATAATATATATATATATTAATACATATTTACGACCATCATTTAGTTACACTGTATATATATATACTACTGATGAATTATTATATTATATATTTAATTTCTCTACAGAGCTTTACCCAATCACAATCAGCTTATGGATTATTTTGCTACATTGAAGCATATTAAGGGGCCATCAAGTAAAAGCGTTATTTATTATTTATTGTTAGTGTAAGAACACAAAGCTTAATTTAAATGATTAATAAAAACGACATTTCAAAATGTGTATACTGTATAATGCACAAATTAACCAAATTTTATTATACAATAGTAATTAAAACATGTATTTGTAAGTGATTTCTTTTGATTTTTCTTTTTTATTATAATTAAGGTTTGCTATTAAAATGTAGGTCATATCGCACAGATTACTTCACATCGTATGCAGTAAATCGTTTTCGATATTATCATGTACCTGACGGAATTTGTAGATGACGGAATTGAAATTATTTTAATGAGAAACTCAAGTACCTTAAAAATCTTCAACGAATTCATTTTAAGAGACCTTTAAATCACTTTGCTGTCCTAGATCTATCAAGTACTTGAGTACAAAAGTAAATACAGAGAGAAAAGAAACCACGATCACCCGGCGCGGATAAGTTCGTACTTCGTAGTTGTTCGACTGATCGCACTATATATATATATATAATAATACATGTGCGTCTTATTACATAAACTCTGACAGGATAGAACATTGTTATGAAATTGTTAGGGGAATATTTGTCTGAACAACGCAACTGAGAAGACGGTTTCCAAGTATTAATAACTGGCATTAAATATTTATATAGGCACGTAGTTATCAAAGTTTTCATTGTACATATTTATACGATTCGGGAAAACGTTTATAAGTGCATTATCGTGATTCCGCTTCAGTCGCCCGTTTGCAAATTGAAGGTGGGTACTCTACTTGCTGTTGCTCCAACCTGGAATTGTGCCAAGAAACCCGGTCGATTCGAACTGAACATAAAACGTGCCACAGCCTGATACTGGGTACTCTTCAAGCGCTTTAGACCTATATATTGTAAATAGTGGTTCCATTACTAAACTACTCTATAATTTAACACTCAGTAATAGTAATACAAATTATGCTTTATTATATATCGTAAATAATGCCATCCTTATATATAGTGGAGTTCATATAAGTTAATAAAATAACACCTTTCGCCAGTCAAAACAAATTAGGTTTCTATGTAAATAAATATATATTCTAGTGTTAATCTTGAAATATTAATTTTCTCATATCGATAATGCATCTCTTGATTATTACCAAGTGCGTATCGAATATGGTATGGCGTAACAAACAAAGAAAATTAAAAATGTGAATGTATTATACGTACGAGTAAGTCTTTTAAAAGTTCTAACGCGATTCCGTTCAATTTCCAACTGAAGTAGATTTGAAGGTTTGAATTCAGTATTTCTTTGTAACTAAAATAAAATATTGAAACTACGCTTTTCACATTTAGTTTTGCGAGTCCTCGATAACAAATCCGTCGTTCTTTAGAATTTTGCAATCGTATTTTACAACAACCTCTTACGGGATGCCTGTCGGTTCTAATGTATTAAATAAAGTGTATTTCTCTGTTTTCCTCTCGGCAACCTCGGCTATTTAAAGGCATTGGTCTGTTTGTATTTGAATCTCGTTATTATTTCTAAATACACATAATAGACATCTCTTCAACAGGAGCGAGCTTCCCTCAACCAGGCGTTTCAGTAAGCATCTATGTTTTGAACTACATATCAACACTGACCGCGGGAGAATCCTGGTTGCTGTTCAGGGGGACACTATGAAACCAGCTATCGTCACCTACCACGACTTGGGGCTCAACTGTAAGTATTTTTGAATGAATGAATTTAGTAAACTTAAAACAATTTATATAGTGGTCGTATGCAAGTTCTACACTACAATATAGAAGTTAAAACCGCATCTTCAGTCCTTACTAAAAATATATTTTCAAACATTACGAATTTATATAAAATCTACCATTTACCGTCACCTCCAAAGTTTTAAGCTGCCGCTTTTCTCGTACACCGTATGAGCATTACAATTTAGCAATGAAACGTCACTTGCATTGGTAGTAATGTCGTTTTGATTTTATTTTGCTAATAGAAAATTTTGTACGTAATTCACTTGTAAATTTGTTCATTATAAACAGTTATATTAACAGATAATATCATAAACCTTGAACATATCAAAATCGCAACGACTGATAACCACTTTCCTTATATATTCCAGGCCTATTCTCTTCCTTTTCTGCTGGGTTATAGGAAGATGAAAATTTTGCACATAGCTGGAATATTCAACTCACTGGAGCACGCTCGCTCGTTCAATCAATCCATAACTGTACATTCTTTTCAAGTTTCGCTGCAAGTTTCAAATAATTTTAATGCCGTGAAATCTCACAGCTTACAAGCTTAACATAGCTTTCAAATATTTTAATGCACAAGATAATGCAGCCGATCCCCTAAATCTATTTTATTACGTTCCAATGGAAGCTATAACTGAGTAAAGCATATTTATTTAAGGATTATCTTTTCCTTGCTTTTTTGATGCGATGTATCTTTTATATATAATATTTAAAAGCGGAACTTGTTTGTTTAGTCGATCATTCTTTTATGATTCAAACTCTTGCCTTAATCGCCCTTGACATCATTTTATTTTAATGAAAGTATTAGGACATTTGGGTACTGTGAGCAGTGTTGGCCTAGTGGCTTCAGCGTGCGACTCTCATACCTGAGGTCGTAGGTTCGATCCCCGGCTGTGAACCTTTCTATGTGCGCATTTAACATTTGCTAAAACGGTGAAGGAAATCATCTTGAGGAAACCTACATGTCTTAGACCTAAAAAGTCGACGGCGTGTGTCAGGCACTGGAGGCTGATCACCTCCTTGCCTATTAGATTAATAGATAGTATATATATTGATTGGTTGATAGAAGTGATCATGAAACAGATTCAGAAATCTGAGGCAAATACCATGCGCGCTATAATATGCAAGTTCTTTGTTTATGCAGACTAATGTTAATAGAACTTTCTTTATTTAAATTAAAGCTGGTGTTTTAATTCGTATCGTTTATTAAAACCTCAACATAACAATCAAATATACAATAGATACAATTTTCTTTACCTTTATAGTAAAAAAATTAACAAAAAGAAAAGTATCCTAATATAGCGAGGAAATGCTGCCAGCGTTAAAGGTGTTGCCACAAGGACTAAACTTTTTGAATTTGTTATAATTTTCTTTTATAATTCGTATTGAATAATTATTAGAAAATTATCTGAAAGGTTCTGAAACCAGTACATTTTACTAATTACGATCCTAAATTATTTCAATATTATTACGGGCGTATGTGAAAAAAAACACAATTATTGTTCTCACGGGCATATCAAAAGCATCTATCATAAAATGTGTGATGCTTCAGGAGTTATTCGTCTCTCAATATAACTTTTAAAGTATTTTTATATTTATATAAAAGAATTTGATCCACCCCTCCTGCCCTTTGGTGACGCCCTTGACTATTAAGGCTAATGTTGCGACATGTATCAACCATTAATAAACGAACTGATATGATTTCTTTTATTATTCATTCAGTTTCAATTACTAAAAAAAGTATATTTTGTACAGTCTTTTGTAAAAAACTAGCCTATTTATTTTTGTATCAAAAACACTTTTTGTCACTAACATTCGCTGTTGTCGTCATGTGCCACCTTTGTGCTTTGTATGAAGCTCGAAAATGACAGTTTTTCAAGCTGTTATTTAACTTCCTTTGTTTGTAGGCTATTCCGGAACTGAGTTCAGCCTTACAACAATTGACATTGAACTTCGTTTAAATTAATTAAGCTACAGTTCCTACTGTTATCTATTATTTAATGGTTTAGTAACTGAGTCAGATAGACCTAACAATAATAGACGAATTACACATCTTGTTTTATTACTTAGTTATTTATCACTTTGTATGAATAACATTTATTAAAACTTACGTAAATGTTTTTATTACCCATGAAAGGCATCATACTGCAATACTTTTCATGACTCTTTCATTTTAATTCAAGGCTTAACAATCGAATTAATGTCTGGCAAATTCATTGTTAGTTTTTCTTATATTTAAATAACATAATATTAAATTTACAGACATTATAAAATACTTTGAAATTTTTATAAAAAAAAAACTTAAAATCGCGTCTTGCACATAGTTAGCATTGTCAAAAATGTCTCGCAATAAAAAAAGTATGTCAGGTAGACTTATTTAAAAACGAAAAATTAAAAATTACGCTTCTTAAAATGCAATGCTTCATCATAGACTGCAATACATTTCATGGCTTTTTCATTTTAATTCAAGGCTTAACAATCGAATTAATGTCTGGCAAATTCATTTTAAATTTTTCTTATATTTAAATAACATAATATTAAAATTACAGACATTATAAAATACTTTGAAATGTGGCACCAATGTGTGTACTTGTGTGCAATGAATCGGAATCTTAGACTCGGAAATCGACATATGTCAGGCACAGAAAGCCGATTACTTAGTTGCTTGTTAACGGAAAGTGTAAATGCACTCTGATGCGCTCAAAATAGATGCACTCTGAGGCTAAGACCCAGAAATATGGTAGTGCCACAAAATTTTTAAAATTATGAGTGCTAGTTAGAAATGATTTTATCCAGCATTGCAATATATTGAAAGCACCGCCTCTTTTCGTTCCGTTTCGTTTTCCTTAGAAATTCCAAGACCTTGTGTAACATTCCGTGACCTTTTTGTATTCAAGCTCGTTGAAATTTCAAAATGTTTTCTCCATATTGAAGTATACGTGGGCCACTTCCGCTGTTCCAATTTTAACTAATTTACAATAGTTACCTGTTTTTAACGTAAACGTCATGGCTAGTTTCAGTCGTAGTCATTTTAAATTAAATGGCTACTTAAGCCAACATTTTAATTAGTTTATCATATATCCAATCGGAAGCTAAAATACTTAATTAAGGCTTTATTTATTTTTATTCCTTTAAGTCAGTCGTTACGCGACTTAAAATGCTGTACTATTAGCGTGTTCTTGATATCTACTTATTATTTTACAATAATAGATAATAATTTAATTTTATTAATGCTTTAATAGTCTTTATTTGACATTGTATTTCAAAGACTAAAAAATATACAAGCGTTTCTGAATCAGTATATTCAACTGTTTTTTCCAATACCAATTATTCCTCGTAAGTTTTAATTAAAGCTATAAAGCTTAGAACGATTTGTAAGCCATCGATGTTGTTGTTTATTTTAAAACATTAGCAACAAGAGTAAAGTGAGATGGGAACACATTAAGTATTTGAACAGCACCTAGAGAGCTGCAACAGAAAGGGAATATTAAGGGAATTTCAGGTACTTTACCGCGCTCCACTTCAACTAAATAATTCAAGGTTATTTTTACTTCAAACTCAAACTCAAAAAATCTTTATTCATATAGGTTAACAAGTACACTTATGAACGTCAAAAAAAAGTTAAATTATTTGTAAATTTACATTTAATACCAGTTCGCAAGTCAAGGGCGTAGAGCGGGCAAGAAACTTTCCGCCACTCTTTTTAATCGCCAAGTTTTGAGTCATACAAATTGTTTGAACTGGATCAAATCAATCCCAAGGATTAGGATCAAATCAAATTTATAAAAAGCTTTATTGATTAATTTACGTTTAACGAGGGCTTTGAATTTATTTAGTGATAATTCTCTAATTTCGCTTGGGAGTTTGTTGTAAAAACTAATACTTCCATTTAAGGAGTGGTTTATCTTCTGGAGCCTGGTTGGTCGTACACTCAAATTAGATCTATTTCGCGTATTATACTGGTGAAAGTCACCATTTGTTTTAAAATCGTTTATATTTTTTTTGTACATACAACAAGGCTTCAAGGCATTCGTATGCAGATATTTAAAGATCTTATTGTAAATGAGAGTAAAGTAATGTCTTTTAAACAATAGGTTTGAATTCGATTTCGATAAAGATCTAAAAAAGAAGAATTGCATAACAGATAAGAGAAAAGATTGACATTTTGTTTTTACCTTATTTTGGAATAGGAGGACAAGGTTCTCGCTCATGATTTGATGATGAAAAGATCCAGAAATAAAATATATTATTTTTCATTAACCTTGAAAAATTCAATACAACTCCAATACAATTTGGTGGTAACACAAACATGGACGGGATGGAGTTTCCTGAGGTATTAATGGCTCTTACAACAGTTACGAAGGGGTACCTTCTTGGGTTTAGGTGTCCTCAGAGTCTTGTTTCTTAACATAAAGGTAAATTATGGACGGAGGTAACTTTTTCGCATCAATCATAACAATCTGGACTTCCAAAGGATTTTATCCAAAGTAAGTAAGCATGTAAGCAAGTTCGCAGATATTTTAGCTTTGGAAAGAACGTTCAATTTTTTTTACAGTGTCTCATTCGAAAATAAATAAAATCAATTAAGTGCAACAGAAAGTATTATAAAAAATTGGTTTTCCCACGTAGTTCATAGAAATAATAAATAGAAAATTGTAAGTTGCCACAAATAAATGTTACAACATACCTGCAAGGTTTTAAAACAATTGCTATCAATAAATACATCCCTTGGTGTACAGTTTACATAATCGAAGTAAACAAATTCTTAATATTAAACATATATATATATATATATATAACATATTACATATATATAGATCAACTGCTGAATAGTTTGAAATCAATAATAAATCTTCAATTCAATTAAATTCAATTTTGTTGAACCAAAAAAGTCCATTACCGGATCTTATCGGAGTGCCTGCACCACACCGCATCCTGCGCCATGGTGCGGAATAAAGATTGCACTCATAGCAAAGAATGAGTATTAAAGAGTAGGTTAGGTTGAAAATGACATGAAGATTAGTTTCTTATCCAGGAGTAAAATGCTTGTTACTACAAGTGCCTACTTATTATGTCATATTCTGTTACGAAACGTAGACCTCCTCGACGAAGTTGAAGCATCTCTCTTAAGGGAATACACAATATGAATACAATAGTGCGGCACAATTGAAGATACTCGCAATCCGGGCCTTTTATTGTCACTGTAATGGGCATTTGCGATTAAAATGGAGTTCTAAGTTATTTTTGCAATCTAGATTTTACGTTTTTCTACAATGCTGACCCATTTTCATATGCCTTCGTGTTTCACATGCATTCATAATGCTGAAATCGATCGACCCCAAAGTTTCTAGGACCCTTATATTAATCGAATATTAAATGAATTCTCTAATCAAGGCAATGTAGCGCAATTATGTGAGTCATTTTTGTTCTGTGATTATGATAAGGCAACATTAACAAAGATTTACACAAGTCTGAAAATTATTGAAACATTGTGGCCCTTATAACAGGGAGGCTGTATCTATGAGACTTATGAATAAACATCATTAAATACTATTGATAATATTATAACAAATATACCTATTGTGGAATAATAATTAAAAATAGATAAATAGAGAATTAAAAAAAATATAAATAGTTTGGTACCTTTGGTTGAGCGAGGAAATCACCAGCTCTGGGGTCACCGGTACTATCTACCAGGCGCCAAATTAAATCTTTAATTAAAGATTAATGATTTCATTTCAAAATGTTTCTTTGTATTGTGAAATTGAATCTTTCCCTGTCGCTTATTTAAACATAAGTATAACGACGCTTGCTTTAATTAAGAGCTCAATGTTCAAGAATCCTTATGACAGTAAAGTTTAAGATGAAATTTCGATTCCTCGAAAGCAAATCGGGAACAAAAGTTGAGGAAACAAAGTAAGGACTTTGACTGCAAACGTTTATGTAATTACGTAGCTTTTACGGCTTCTACTGTCGTGTAGACATGGTTCAAGACCCGACAAATCAATTATATTTCATTGTTTATTTTAAGTAACACATAGAAATAATTAACAGATTGCAATTAGCGACCTTTTCCAGGCGACCGACAGGAGTTTTTTTAATAATATTAAAATACAACGCTTAAGCTATTTAAAATATCACTAAAAGATATAATAATACGATTTTATTTAAAGTTATTGTAAAACTGCAATACAATTTCGTAGTCGTATTAGTAAAAGTTTACTATTAAGTGCATATCATATATTGATGAGTTTTCAAAGATAAATTTAACTCCACGACTGTAGAGTATCGGTTATTGAGAATTCGCTTTCCCAATCAATAGTTTCAATTAATTCTATTAGTCTTTATTGTGTGTGTCTATTACTGTCTAGTCTGGCCTAGTATTAAATAACCATTAGTTCGAACTATTTCTGCCCGAAGCGATACTGCAAATTCTTATCTTTGATTTGAAATCTATTACTCTTTGTTTTGGTTTAAGCTGCATAACGCCTATGTATGTGTCCCGAATCTCTCTAATAAGACAGTTTTGCGTAATCTAATCAGTCTTCTGTGCCTGCCGATGCCTTTGCGATTTTTGACTTTAAAATGTTATGGAAACAAAAATCCATCCTTAACCGGGGTTCGAACTCCAGACTTCAGAACTGAGAGTTACACGTTCAAGGACTAGACTACAGCCCAAATCCATTACGTAGAAACAAGTTTAATGATTATATTTTTCAGGTGGGACTCAAAGGTCTCTTTTGAATGGTTTATAAGTAGGACTGAAATGGTTTCCGTTAATTGAACATGTTGAAAATAGCTTAAATAAGCTTTTTGCGTCTTAAAATATAAATAGCCCGTGGAAGTTGATTAAACCTATATCGCTTTTATTCTGTTTAATTTTATGTTCCTAAGCGTAATGTTTTATTGCCTCCGTGGTTTTAATGGACTCGGCGTATAAAACAAATGAGGTCCGCATAGAAGGCACCACTTTGAAACAACCGTGATACTGTAATGCCTATATAATATATACTAATTATTTTAACTACCGATTCTGAATGCTTGGTCTAAGACCGCATAAACTTAATACATGAGGTACGTTTACAATACATCATTGACATCAATTTTAATACTAAATGCTATTTTGTTTATATTTTTATAAAAATATATACATGCAATTACTAATTATTGGTATTTTTCCATGAACACTTGCTCGTTCGGTGATACATAGACGACATGTGATAGACCCAAAGACTGAGAAGGACAACCTTTTTAGTTCCTCAGGTCGACTTTTTGGGTCTAAGGCAAGCCCGTTTTTCTCACGATGTTTTTCTTTACCGTTCGAGCTGATGTTATTTGCGCACATTGACTGAGAGTCCATTGGTGCACAGCCGGAGATCGAACCCATGACCTCAGGGATGCAAGTCACACGCTGAAGCCACTAGACTCACTCTGCTCTGTAAATATATATTTAATTTTTTTTTCTTTCTTTAAGTCTTCTTTATTTAAGTCTTTATCATGCAATCAGTCAGTTAGACTATGAGCAGATGTGTTGGGAGCTGTTAGGCGTTCAGAGCAAAATCTCCATCGAGACTGCTCCTCTCTTTCAACCGTGTCTATCAAGACTTAGGATTTGTCGCCTTTTAAGCCTATTTATTAGGTCCGGTATGGTTAGTTGCGTGGCAAGCTTATTAGGATGCATTTCTAGCCTTTTTCTGTATTTTATACTCCAGGTCTTGATCTCCTCTTTGACAGTCCTGATTTTGAGGTGCTCATGAATCTCCGATGTTTTTATAAACCACGGACAGTTGGATATTTGTTTCAAGATGTTATTTTGAACCCTTTGTATGATACTTATATTAGAGTCACACGCCGAACCCCATAGTTGAATCCCGTATGTCCAAATTGGTTTCAAGAGCATTTCGTAGATGAGTAGCTTATTATCTACTGACAGTTTGGAATTTCTGCCAAGTAGCCAGTAGAGTCCTCTATATTTCAGGTTGATTTCTTCTCTCTTCTTCTGTATGTGTTGTTTCCATACGAGTCTCCTATCAAGGTGTATTCCCAAGTATTTTACACAGTTTTCTTGCGGAAGTTATATATTTAATTAAATATTATTTATGTATCTTGTATTAGTATGAGTGTTCAAGAAGAGAACGTACCAATTCTTAAAAGACCGGCAGCGAGCCTTCTAACAGTGCGAGTGTACATGGGCGTATCACTTAACATCAGATAAGCCTTCTGCCCGTTTGCCTCTTGTAACATAAAAAAAATATGTATTCAACCGTGTCAATTAATAAATAATATACATAATATGATATTGGAAAATAGATCAATTTCTAGAAGAGCTTCTTGTACAATCTCTTGGAATAACAAAAACCAAAATTAGAGTGGAATAATTTGGACGGGTCTTACCCATACGATAGTTTTTGTGTGTTCTTCATATTTTAAGGGGCTCAATAATTGAGCCTCAATGTCAGTAGTCTATGGGCATGCGGTGCTTTTCATTGCGTTTTGATAGTGAATAAATTCCTTAGAATTACGATAATTCAAGAACTTTTGTCTAGTTGTCAGGTGTCGTTTGTGTTTAGGGTGTAGACCAAATAATGCTTCAAAATATGTGGAAAATCATTATTATAAAGTTCCAAATACAAAGTAACCAAAATATAGGTACAAATATAACAATTCACAAATATCAAATGGATGGATTTATATGCATAGAATTTTATTTACATAACGACATGATTTGGGATATATCAGCTGTGCCCTAAACGTGACTTAGACAAAAATATATATAATCTGGTGTAATTATATTTTATAGTAATAATAAACATTCTATAACCCAAACGTGTACTATAATCAAGTTGCCGGTCAGTTTAGGTTCCTAAATTGAATCGCAGATTTTTCAGGTGAAAATAAACGTTATGATTCGAATTCGATTATACGATTTTTAAGCCTTAATTAATTTAATTTTGTACTTTATGCGCGTATACTAAACTACACTATACTCCATACATAAGTATACAAGCTATACTTTATTATAACAAGTATTTTTTTTTCAGACTTAAGTTTCGAGTCATTTTTTAATCACGAAGACATGCAAGATATTTTGGACAACTTCTGTGTCTACCACATGAATGCGCCTGGGCAAGAGGAAGGTGCTGCAACTCTGCCGGAAAAGTGAGTACATTGGGCATAATTTTTTTTTAAATTAAAAGTTTAATTGTGAAATCATCTGCGCTGTTTTTTAAAATATGTTTTAAAGGTCGCAGGTATAGACTTAACGTATAGTATAGATATTATTCTCATGCCTTAACAGGCCATTATAATATTTATCATCTAATAGATCGCTATTTGTTGCTCACGTACAGACGAGAAATTCTACGATTAGAATTTCTGTAGACAGAAATGTTTAACATAGATCCAGTAAAGAATTGGACTAGTTGCAAAACGGATATAATATATTCTTACAATATTGTCAGCATATGTGACGCAGAAAACGTTCGCGGTAGATGAATTTTTAATATTTTTTCTCGTTGTTCAGTGCCAATTTATATACACTTACTGTATGTAGACGAATCTTTCAACGTTGATGCAATCTGCACGTATGAAAAGAAAACTCTTTGCGTGTCTCTCTTTTAATTAATCTGGCTCTAATGTTTTAGTTTAAATTAAAGATATTTTTATAATTAAATCTCATAATTTTGAAACGTGAAGATTTTTTTAACATCTAATTAATTGTTGAAGAAGTATGTAAAAGCGTAACAACTTGACATATAGTAAGCTCTGTGGTTGGATGCATTATACATTTGTGATTTTAAAAACATCATGAGTACTTTTGCCTAGAAACTATTTTAAGTTATTCACTAAATAATTGATGACAAACGGGAGCCAGGCGCGTAAAGTCTTTACTCCGAAAAATTTAAAAATAAAATCATACTCTGAGGGTTAATGTATTATATCTGTCAATATACTTTATCATTAAATTACCCTCATTTATTGCAATTCTAGACAACAATGATTTTTTGTTTAGTCTCTTGGAAAGCTTAAAGACAATATCAAACCATATCTCAGCGTTTCATGCGAAATGCAGCTTCCATAATTACTTACAGTCATGGTTTTAAATGACTTTGATTTAATTACTCAGAGTGGTAAGTTGACATATACGTATATACAACACGAATGGAATTTTGCTGAGATGTTTTTATACAAATAGGTAGGCGAAAGACGACTATATGGTCTTGAGATATTTTACTGGGTTTTGAGCCTCATGTTGTGCAAAGCCTCATGTCAACAATTTTAGATAATACAATTACGTATCATTATAAATCTTAGATGCTGCCACCACGAATTGGCGGATGACTTATGTTTTTATATCCTTAAAGTGTCAATGGATATCAAATGAATTTGCTTAACACGATGCATAGCGATCATTTGGTGTACATTAAATAATTGGACCGATTTGTAAGCTTGGACATACCGAACACATCGGGTGTGGCACAAAGCACTTCTCTCGAAGCTCCCCGTAGGCTTCCCGAGAAATTATCAACTGGATTTCCAGTTCACGCTGATCGGAGCATGTTCCGAATGCACCCGTGAACATTGGGGCCCACAAGGCCTATCCCCGACCCTGATTATTCAGCATATCAATGATATATTGCAACTTAGTAACATTCATTGCTATGCGGACGATGGCACTGGAGATACCCTTTACACTGGCTGGGTAGGTATTTCTTGGTCGATGAGTACCGGAATAAACTTGTGTTGAAGTCGAAACATTGCTACGTGGAGTCTCGGACTGTAGTAGTGTATCTGTTTGACTAAATTTAGTCCCTTTTCGGCTACTACTCTCCTTAAAGCTTCAGTTTCGCGATCATTTGGAAGGAAAACCTAAGTTAGCCTCGAAGGAGCTAGGTGTGCTTAGCAAGGCGAGATGGTACTTCACTCACCACCGCTCGCAACTCTATAAAACGCCAGTTCGGCCCCAACTCGGAGTAGGTACTGTTCTCACCTCTGGGCGGGATCTCCCCAGTACCAGCTCCTTCCGCATGACCGCATTCAACGAAGAGCGATTGGAATCGTCGACGACCAGTTTTCGAGCGGCTTGATCCCTTTGCGTAGAGATGTGGGGTCTCCTGCATCTAATACCGCATTTACCATGGAGAGTGTTCAGAGGAGTTGTTTGGACTAATACCTGCAACTGAGTTTCATCATCGGACGACAAGGTAGAATACAAAATACCTGCTGCCCACTGAAGTATATTTCCGAACCAATTCGAATTAGGGTACTTTAAGAAAAGAGCGTACCAATTTTTAAACGGCCGGCAACACACTTGCGAGTGCCCATGGGCGGCGGTATTGCTTATTATCATAGTAGCCTCCTTACATAAAAAATAATATGCAAAAATCGTTGTGTGCAAGTTTCTGTTGTGAGTAAATGTTAATATCAATTTTGATTCATGTCACTCGACGTAAGTTCAGCATTTCAAAATGATTACAAAATATTTTGTCGCATTCTAACTGCATGAAATTTCCGAAATTTAATTAACTCATAAACGCACAAGCCACAAATATTATGCGATGAATGAGGGTTGATGCCACGAATGCTTTGTCCGTTGCAAATGCAAGCGTCTACATTCTTGAAATAATTGAGGCAATTTAATAATTAACGATGTTATCCAAACTCAATGTTTGTAAAGAGTCAAGTTGATAGGTTCGCCATATGATAATGGTAATCCGTATATTATTTATTTCGTATTCCTACAGCTACAAAAAAATTATACTAAACATATAGCCAAAGATTATAGAGCAATTAAATAATAATAAAGAAACAACGGTTAGTGCTTCTTTACGCTATGGTATATTAATGAAAATGTATAACAATATTTGTATCAAATTGGAAAATACACATTACACATATTACTCATAGCATACCTTTTTCTACTTGCATGTAGCTATTAATAATAATCTTTATTTGTTCTGACAAAAACTTACATACATAGTGCACAAATTAAATCGACAGTTATTTATAATAAAAGGAAATGCTTGTTTGTGTGAGACTGATGCCAGTTAAAGGTAAAAGTACCTGTGTTACAGGTCATCAGGCACTTCAGATCGCCAAAAGGTCTTAAAACGTAGAGTAAATTTATGCTTTATAAACAATTATTATTAAACATGTATAAGAGGTTGCAACATCAACAAAATACATAATTATATAGAAAGAAACCACTGAACTATTGAACGTAGTTAGTCGATTCAACTATGTGACATGATTTTTAACTGAAGCAATTTCAGTTCACCGCTTCACTGAGCATGTTTAACAGCGTCAAAGCCTTCGTACACGTGTGCGATTTAAATTTAATCAGACATGCAATGTACTTATAAACTTCATATTGATGTCCCATTAACCCCCAAAGTGGGGTAGACAGCTACGGCTGTTCAGCAAGTGAGAGATTCGTTAATTACATACTTCATTAGTCACACTTTGTACAATACGAAAACGATCAAATTAAATTATCTATATATAATAAGAATATAAGGGATAAGTTTCCAGCAATCATTTATTATAATTTAATTTTTGAGCGTCTCAATCATTATAGATGTAAGGTGTTTTCCAATTCGGAATTATTTATCATAATATGTCATACAATGTTGGGCAAATTAAAATTTATCATAATTAGTTAGACATTTCTTTTGAATATTCTTGGTTTAGTGCGCAGTCTTCGAGTATAAAGATACGAGTAAGTCTACTAATAATTATTATTTTAATGTTGTATTAGGCTATACCATAATAATATGGGTAAATTTATAGTTGAAAATATTATTCAAATATATGTTTTGGGAATAGACAGATTTAAAAAAAAATGAAAAGTATTGTTTTTCTTGTATTAGTATGGCAGTGATATACAATAATATGCGTTTTAAATCAACATATATGTAACTCGAATGGAACACATTTTGCTGAGATGTTTTTATACAAGAGGCGAAAGGCTTTATAGTCTTGAGAATATATAGCAAGCCAAAAATCCAGTAAATAAATATTACTGTATTATTGGCTTGTCGCGTCAAGCCCTACAGATTGATCTTATTCAACATTTTTAGAAAATACAATTACGTATCATTATAAATCTTATATCACGAAATCGAAATTTCATATGTATTTATACCCTTTATGTGTCAATGGATATCAAATGAAATTGCTCACGTCAAATAGTGTACATTTATATGCAATAATTAATTTCTTTGACTGGTATTTAATATGCGTGGGAGTAAAGTTGGTGTCAAAATAACAAAAGTTTTAAATCAAATTAATTTGCCAAAGTTATATAGATGATGTTTTATAGAACAAAAACGCAATAGTCTTGTGAATAACAGTCGATTGTCTAATTGTTAGAAAACAAAGGCTTTTATATATAATATCGGTACTTCTATTTGCAAATGCACAAAACAAACAATTGTTAGTGTATCCAAGCTAGTACCTATGTAAGTTTCATTATTATAAATTGCTTACAAGGATTTTTTACATTGTTTACATTATGTGCAAGTTATTTGCAGGCTGTTTGCTTGCTCTGGATTGGTTAAGATTTATGAACATTTCGATATTTATATACGTAATAACATATTAAACAACAATATAAGACATAGAAAGTCTAACAGGCCAAAAAAATCCGACTTCGATAATTGTACCGGCTTCAAAAATTCAAATTTTTTACATGACACCTATGTTTATTAAACTTTGACTATTGAACAAAAATGTATTTCCATATCTTAAAAACAAATTAATTGATTTTTATGAAACTTGACTGTTCCCTATGTTGAAATATTTAAAAAATCAAAGGTAGAAATTAAGAGCTCGTGATCATCGTAGGCAAATAACAAATTCCAACAATATCTTAAACATCCAGCCAGATTTAAATTACGTAACCTAAATTACTTGTTTATTTTGTACTTGAATTATGTACAGCCTTGGGCTTGTATGCATTTTGTGAAAATTCTAGATTCCTTACGTAACGAAAGCTTTCTCTCAAGCGGATTCATGTTTTATAGACCCTTGGTACACCCTTCGGGAAATGTAACTAATTAACACAATGTTCTTTTAATACGCGAATCATAATTATGCAGCGGCTATAATAGTGCAATGTTAGCAGAAACTTATTTCTTTTTTATGACGATTCTGAAACA